AAAGTGCAACCATTCGGACGAGAATCACCCGGAGATATGTCCCAGAACCCCCGTTAAACCCAAAGTTTGGGTTATATTAGGGCTCCCGGCAACAGCCAGGGTGAGGCTTTAGGACAACACCAAAATTGCGTCCGACATTGGGATAAGGGTATACAGCGACAGAATAAGAAAGAAAGGAGGACACAGTGGTAAACATTCAGGGGCTACCAATACTGGGGTTTATCCCTCCCCCCCTCTAAGATCTGGGTTTTTTAATGACGCCTTGGGTTCAGATTTTGGAAATTTTTTCCAAATTCCAATTCCAGTTGTCCAACAAAAATTCCAAATTTGATCCTTTTTCAGCGGCCCGGAGGCCTGCTATATGATGGAAGGTTCCTTTTTTTTAAAATATCTTTATATATGTTAGCTGCGTTTCTTTTACAGGACGTTGCAGAACCAACCCCCAACAGCCCCTGGCTGTTGTGTGGTTTTTCTAGGCAAATTTACGTCCAGTAGTTTGCCATTGCTTCCTGGACGGTCGGCTTTCTTGATTACACTGTCGAAACCAACGCAAGGCGGTTGGCTGGGATCGAACCCATCATCCCGGCATTACGAAGCGTTCGCATCGACGTAGCCACAGAGCCGACATATCCTTCTATAAAAGTTGGTAAATGTTATGTTTCGTTTCCTAACTATAAAATGTGTACTTTTTAAAAAAAATCAATATTGCTTGTTTTTTGGGTCAGCTTAGCATGGGATTTGATAAAAATCCCACTGGCAGCCGTTGGTACAACCTTCTGCTTCAACAAGCCAGAATACTATCCGCCTGACCACCAGCAACCCTTCGTGTCCACGTAACTAGTGATTGAGACACTTCTAGTGTCAACAAGGCCTTGCCCAGCAATGCATTTCGTCCCATCCAGGATCTCAGTCCGCAGGATTAACATCTTAAGGATAAGAATCCTACATGTAGAAATCCCAGCAAGCCTCGTTCAACCGTAAGTAAGGTTGTATTGGGGCCCACGACCATTCCTCGGTAAACCCGAAATCTGGACCAGGCAGGAACAGCACGACGACCTGACATTTGTTCTCGTACACACAAACACTTACACACATCACCTCCACACAGACAGAGAGAGTGCGGAAGTCAACCAGGCCGCTTCTCCTTCATCACAGGATCACAGCTGACTCACAGAGTACATAGTTGCAGTCAACATCGACATTTTCACAATCGTTACAACCCAGGAGGTTTCTGTATCTTCACATCTGCTTACAGGTGTGTGATTTTCTTGTACTTTAAAAGTGAAAGTGAAAGGAGATAATTTCTCATGCGACAGCAACCTACGTCCGTTATATTTTAAATTACACACACCACTTGATGTGTGAAAGCCAGAGCTAGATCAACAACACTAGGTGCCAGTACCGTCACCCAGTGTGCTCCAGTCTGCTACAAGTTTAGTTAGACCGTTAGTTGAGGCAGCAGTCTTGTTCTTTATCCGGAGGACTAGTTGATGATTTGATACTCTGGTTGGTACATCAATGCGCTGAATAAGTGTGCTACTTTCTCTACACGTAGACCGGCGGCTTTGAATCATTCTGTTTGAGAAGGTGTGTAGGTCTGTCTGTGTGCTGTGCTCAGTGAATCATCCATTCTGTTTGTTATTCTGTTATGACACTGTGAGGTTTGCCCCCCCCCCTTTTTCCAACCCTTATATAGATTGTCCCTTTTATTTGCATATACTTTTGAGTGTAGGAGTGAGATGAATTTATCCATCGAAATCCCTTTGTTGTATTTTTTCACTTCTGGATTGTTTTGATCTTGGGTACTAATGTGACTAACGGTTTATGTCAAATAGAGAGTATAAATTTGAAGTAAACTTGTCAGTAAGATTATAATACAATAAGCTCATTACAACCAAAAGTGTTGAACATGAAATTACTATATGAGACTTACAACTAGATGTTTATATTGCAACTAGATTTTTATATTATTACAACTAGATGTTTATATTACAACTAGATGTTTATATTATAGATGTTTATATTACAACTAGATGTTTATATTACAACTAGATGTTTATATTACAACTAGATGTTTATATTACAACTTGATGTTTATATTACAAATATATGTTTATATTACAAATAGATGTTTATATTACAACTAGATGTTTATATTACAACTAGATGTTTTTATTACAAATACACTAGACACTTTGTCTCCCAATTATCATTCTAATGGTCACACATGATATTCTATCAGAATAACAGCTAGCAGTTCATGAACACACCCTGTTCCAACACACCCTGTTCCAACACACCCTGTTCCAACACACCCTGTTCCAACACACCCTGTTCCAACACACCCTATTCCAACAAACCCAGTGTAGTAACAACCTCATTAACACTAATTCCAAGAGAATGAAATTAAGTTCATGTGTAACAAAAAATGCATCACTAAAATGCAGTAATATTTCCCTGCTGGTAACAAGATTTTGTTTATGTTAACTTAGTGTTCTTCTTAAGCCAGTTTGTGTTAATGAGGTTTTACTGATTTGTTTACTGTATGAATGGTCTGCTTGTAATGCATTCCGACCCTGCAAGATGATGCAACTAATTCATTTTATGTGAATGTAACAGTAACTTTCTTATCCCAAGCAGGACACTTTTCAGTGTATGCCAGGCAGCATATGTTCTGTTACATTTTTCAAATTTGGCCTCAATAAGTTGAAGAAATCTGGCTATTTATTTACAGAATGTTTTGTGTGTGTCTGAGTATTGGTAAATTTTTTTGTTCCTGCTTGCATGGTCACTGGCTTATGGTGATTACAGAAATGTAAAAGTGGACAAAGAAGAAAATAAAGCCAAAAGAAATAACAGATCGGAGTAAAGATCATAAGACTGCAATAAAAAAAAAAATTGAAACCCAAGAACAAGCACTAATTCGAAAAGAAGAAAGGAAAAATTGAAACCTTACAAGAAAAAGCACTATATCGTCGACTCAGACGAAATTTTTCGAAAGGAAAAACTAGGAGGTCATAAATTGTTGAACGCAACCTCTCCAATATCCGCATGGTGGCACTTTGTGTCATCGGGTGTTTATGAATGTCCAGAATTCAGTCTTACAATTTAAAAAAATAAAAAATTGTGAGACTATATTTTTCAATGGTTTATTTTACTCTATAAGAGAGCGCTAATGTTGAATTTCATAATCTTTATTAATTTTGGTCATTGTTTACTTAGTTTAAGTCATATCAACTCCAAAAAATCTGTATATATATATATGACCCTTCACAGTAAGCCTATGATAATGGAAAGTATGTTCGTTGTTCATTTCAGGATCATTTTGACTGCACATTTAGCATCTCGTGAGTGCTCCAGTCTTCTAGTAGGCATATTTTATAGCATCAGCAACATATCAGCCATATAGTACTGCCTAGGCTTTGTCCTGTGTAGAACTTTATCTCTGACCTGACTGGATCACCATGAGCTGTGATTCCCCTCCCTGCCTCCCTCCCTGTAGCACAGTTGTACACTGTTGTCTGGAAAGACAGGAAGAGCCAGCAAGCTCTAGAGAACTGCAGGGAAAGATTATTAAACAGTAAACAACAAAAATGGACCTGTAGCATATGAAGCTTGTGAAGTAAAAAAAAAAAAATTTATTTCAGTTACTTATCAAATGTCTTTAAATATACTCATGGACGGATTGAACAGTTATCTTGAAAGTAATTTGTATAACACCCATGCTATAAAATTTGCCAAAAGTCCAAGTAAGAATGAAAAAACTGTTCATAATCGATTATGAGCCAGAAGTGTTTAACCAGGGTATTGTTGGTATAATTACTGCTACATCTTGTCAGAAAGGTTGATAACACGGTTTAAATAGCTGTGAAAACTGTCAGCAGTCCATTCTGAAAAAAGTGGGGCAGGAGAATGAGACTGTCTTGACCTATTATCCTACCCTGCTGTTACATTAACTGCCATCCCCCACAGTCACTGTTATCCTTCTCAGTCAGCCAGCTGTTATTTCAACTGCCCTGTCAGGCACTGTCATCTTTCTCAGTCAGCCAGCTGTTACTTCAACTGCCCTGTCAGGCACTGTCATCTTTCTCAGTCAGCCAGCTGTTACTTCAACTGCCCTGTCAGGCACTGTCATCTTTCTCAGTCAGCCAGCTGTTACTTCAACTGCCCTGTCAGGCACTGTCATCTTTCTCAGTCAGCCAGCTGTTACTTCAACTGCCCTGTCAGGCACTGTCATCTTTCTCAGTCAGCCAGCTGTTACTACAACTGCCCTGTCAGGCACTGTCATCCTGTCCTGACATTTATGACTAATTGAGTGAACTGTCTGGCAGAGTCTACATGAGACTGTCATCATCACATGACTTGCCCACTGGTGTAGGTGATCATGCTTCTCCACATCTTGCGGTCTTAAACCGAATATTTTAGTCTGTGTGCTCCCACTCTTCACTACCATGACAGACGTCTGCCAGCAGTCTTCTTTTGTTGTCTTCCTCTATCTCTTGTTTCTATAAAAATTTCTACCTGTGCTAGGCTTTCTCAACTCCTATGGTCAAACAAACAAAAATGAAAACTTCTTATTTCTAATATTTGTGATAAACTGTTGGTGTGCAATATCCTCTTTCAAAACATTTAGATGACTCATTGTGGCTGTCCAAGGAATCTGGACATCTTTGAAATCTGAAAGGATGTTTTGGTTGGTTTACTTGTTGTCCATGTTTCACAGCCTTTATGTTAGGACTTGTTCTATGAAACATGAAAGAATTCTTGTTCATATTTGCATTGATGGAGACATATCTGTTGAAGATGTGCTTCATATTTTGAAGTGCATAATTTTTCTTGTTCTATGTCAATTATTTGTGTTTAAAAACTCTGTAAGACATCTTCCATCTGATGCAAGAGTGGATGATGTTTTTTTGGATTAATCTACAACAGGTGCATCAAGGGATGTGTCCAGTAGATGACCACTGATACGGAACTGTATTAAACTTTTGTTCTACATCATGGGCAGTTGTTGTTGCAAGTCAAAGGAGGTTGAAGGTGAATTTTGTGGCATTGTGTGTGCGTGAGTGAGTGAGTGAGTGAATGAGAGAGAGACAGAGTTTTTTTAAATTTAATTTAATGAATGTAGTCTGAGTGTGTTTGCTTACGTGTAGATCCAGCTTGAAGTCAGTTCAAGGAAATGTCATAGTAATATTTGCTTTCTTCTCTACAATCAGTTTTATATGGCGACGTTATCACTTGTGTTACTCACAAAGAGAACTGATTGCCCCACGTCAGAAAGAGAGGATCTACATTCTTTGGTCATGTGATGAGAAGGAGAAAACTAGAGTACATGGTGACAGTAGGAAGTTGGAGGGGAGGAGAGGCAGAGGGAGACTGAGAGAACAGATACTGGACAGATTGACAGCATAGCGGGGAAGATAATCTGTGTCAGAGTTGATTGAAAGTACACAAGACAGAAGGTTGTGTGGATAGACATCACTACCAACGCCACACGGCATGGACTTTGAGAAGAAGATCACTTGTGTTGCCTCCATGAACCGGCATATCGGCAACATCTGTAAGGTTTCCCAAAAGGTTGTCATGGATGCCTCTTCCCTCTGGCCAGGTAGGATCCAATCTGGCCGCCTAATATAGACCATATCTATTGAGTGCCATCTGGCCAGCAACAACAAAATATTGGGCTATCACACTGCACATAATGACTCATGGTGGGAGCAAGGATTGCTTTAGATTTACTTCTGCTGTCAGTTAGAGGCTGCCAGGTTAAGTCCTGTGCTTTCAGTTAGAGGCTGCCAGGTTGAGTCCTGTGCTGTCAGTTAGAGGCTGCCAGGTTGAGTCCTGTGCTGTCAGTTAGAGGCTGCCAGGTTTAGTCCTGTGCTGTCAGTTAGAGGCTGCCAGGTTAAGTCCTGTGCTGTCAGTTAGAGGCTGCCAGGTTGAGTCCTGTGCTGTCAGTTAGAGGCTGTCAGGTTGAGTCCTGTGTTGACAGTTAGAGGCTGTCAGGTTGAGTCCTGTGCTGTCAGTTAGAGGCTGTCAGGTTGAGTCCTGTGTTGACAGTTAGAGGCTGCCAGGTTGAGTCCTGTGTTGTCAGTTAGAGGCTGCCAGGTTGAGTCCTGTGTTGTCAGTTAGAGGCTGCCAGGTTGAGTCCTGTGTTGTCAGTTAGAGGCTGCCAGGTTGAGTCCTGTGTTGTCAGTTAGAGGCTGCCAGGTTGAGTCCTGTGTTGTCATTTAGAGGCTGCCAGGTTGAGTCCTGTGTTGGCAGTTAGAGGCTGCCAGGTTGAGTCCTGTGTTGTTAGTTAGAGGCTGCCAGGTTGAGTCCTGTGCTGTCAGTTTGAGGCTGCCAGGTTGAGTCCTGTGTTGACAGTTAGAGGCTGTCAGGTTGAGTCCTGTGCTGTCAGTTAGAGGCTGTCAGGTTGAGTCCTGTGCTGTCAGTTAGAGGCTGTCAGGTTGAGTCCTGTGTTGACAGTTAGAGGCTGCCAGGTTAAGTCCTGTGCTGTCAGTTAGAGGCTGCCAGGTTGAGTCCTGTGCTGTCAGTTAGAGGCTGCCAGGTTTAGTCCTGTGCTGTCAGTTAGAGGCTGCCAGGTTGAGTCCTGTGTTGACAGAGGCTGTCAGGTTGAGTCCTGTGTTGACAGTTAGAGGCTGCCAGGTTGAGTCCTGTGCTGTCAGTTAGAGGCTGCCAGGTTGAGTCCTGTGCTGTCAGTTAGAGGCTGTCAGGTTTAGTCCTGTGCTGTCAGTTAGAGGCTGCCAGGTTGAGTACTGTGCTGTCAGTTAGAGGCTGTCAGGTTTAGTCCTGTGCTGTCAGTTAGAGGCTGCCAGGTTGAGTACTGTGTTGGCAGTTAGAGGCTGCCAGGTTGAGTACTGTGTTGGCAGTTAGAGGCTGCCAGGTTGAGCCCTGTGAGATTTTCATGAGTCCAAGGAAAACAGCAACTGGGGGGGGGGGGATTAGGTATGGAAGAATCTAGTACCTCTAGGACCTGTCCGCTTGATGTCCTAAAAAAGGTGATTAAAGCTAAGAGCATCCCCTTCATTGCACTGAGTTTTATTCCACCTGGTTCAGTCTCCCCAAAGTGGTAGTTGTCAAAGTATCACGCAGAACAGGCTCACTCATACCTGCAACACTCCCTAAGGGTCTTTAAAAAAATTGTGTCACTTTGAAAAGGAACACCCAGCCTTCAGTACAAGCTAATCTTTATTCTATTCTTGAGATTGTAAATTTACACAAATTCTCACCAAAGCAGGATACATTGACCTTTGAACTGAAGGGATCATTATTATGTGTGCAGAGGTCACAATATCTAGTAGCTTGCCCCACAATTAAGTTTTTCTGTCCTGACATTCAGTATCCGTTCCCAAATTGTCCATATCTGTACAACATTTAGCATCTGTCCACAATTCTGCATTCCTGTACCAACATTTAGTACATCTGTCACAACACTTAATCTGCGTGTCCCAACTGTTAGCATATTAATGCACTGTAAATATGTGTGAGCTATAAATATGTTATTAACAGCTTTTCTAATCTGTGTTCCTCTATTTTCTGTCCAACAAAAGAAGAAATTTCTAGAAAAATATCTGTGGTAGGAAACGGTGAAGTGGGCAAGACGTGCCTAATCAAACGTTACCTGACGGACGAGTTCGACGAAGACACACCACATTCATATATCCCATCAGCCCTGCAGGTGGATGAAAAAGTCGAGGAGTTAAAGAATGGCAAAAAGGTCAGCAATGAAGTTACATTAAATTTATGTAAATTGTTGCATTTTCCGTCTTCCTCCTTTCTTTATTTCTCTTATCTTTATGTCTTGCATTCTTTCTGTCTCTCTTCTTTGTCTTGAATTCTTTTTTTCTTTCCTTTGTATTTTTTTTTTTTTAGGTACAGGGAAGAGTGTGTGAAATTGAACCCCATTAGGATCGCAAACTGAGTGATCAGCTCCGTGTTTTGGGTTGTGGGGCCTCATTGTGGGGAAAACAAGAAGAGACCCACTGCCTCCCTAACAAGCATGTCATAAGAGTCAACTAATTGGAGGCTGACTGGACAGACCTCAGGCATGCAAACATGAAGTCCATCCCAGCTGACCGCCAAAGGTGGAGAGAGCTGATCAGACAGTCAACAGAAACTGGTGACATAATAACACATAGTGTTACGGGATGATGATGGTGATAAGACCTTTTTAAATGAAATGAAAAGCAAACAGATAGGTCACATAGAAGTGGCAGTGATATGGTGCAATACCATTGTGACTTCAACCCACCAGGAAACGAAGACATTCAGGAAAACAGCACCCAAAGAATGTTTGCCCGATGCTCACACCCAATTGTCTCCCCTAGACTCGCTTCATCACCTCTTTAAAGATGGTCGTGGATCATCTTCAGACCATGGCAGGGCAAAACAGACATCACCAACATATGATCTATGTTTTCACTGTAGGAAACACAGTGGTGTCCCCGCAGCATCACCAACATATGATCTATGTTTTCACTGTAGGAAACACAGTGGTGTCCCTGCAGCGTCACCAACATATGATCTATGTTTTCACTGTAGGAAACACAGTGGTGTCCCTGCAGCGTCACCAACATATGCACTGTAGGAAACACAGTGGTGTCCCTGCAGCGTCACCAACATATGATCTATGTTTTCACTGTAGGAAACACAGTGGTGTCCCCGCAGCGTCACCAACATATGATCTATGTTTTCACTGTAGGAAACACAGTGGTGTCCCCGCAGCGTCACCAACATATGATCTATGTTTTCACTGTAGGAAACACAGTGGTGTCCCTGCAGCATCACACCTGAAAATTTTGAGCATGTGCTGCAGCACTGTCAACTGTACACTGTCAACTGTACACTGTCAACTGTACACTGTCAACTGTACACTATCAACAGAGCAGTCATCTGGCCTGTTCACCCATTAGACAAGAGAAAACTTTATGACACACAAATAGATGTCACCTGCACACTAGCTTTCGTTGAGACTTCTGGCACCCTGGTATGAGTTTTCTGGGACACCAGTTTTGTGCTTAAATTCTCCTGCTATGATCGTTGGGAGTGCAATGTAAAGGTTAGTTAGTTAGTTAGTTAGCCCTCTGTGTCGAAAAGCACAGGGCAGAGTCGGGGCGCTTCAATCCGTTGTAGGTCTTGGATGTTTGAGTGGCCCATGAGCGACATGATAGTTCTACGTAGGGTTTCCCTTGGTCTTCCACGGGATCTCCCCTGTGGTGTCCAAAAGGACTTGGTAAGGAAGTCTTGATTTAACAACTAAGGACGTCCGAAGTTCCAGCGGCGTTTTCGTATAAAATTAGACACATATCTTGCCTGGATTCTTGCCTTATTTGTGTATTGGTTCGGAAATATGACCATTTGAAATTAGTATTCTTCTAAGGCATTTATTCTCAAAACTGTTAATTTTGTGTCTAGAGTTTTCATTTCCAACTCTCGCATCCATAGGTTAGTACTGGAATCACACAAGAATTGAAGATCTTGAGTTTTGTGTGTTTGCTAAGTGTCTTTCCAGTGTTAGACAGTTTGAAGGCACTAGATCCTGTGCTATCAAATGATTTTCTGGTGCACCATCTCCTGTAGTGACATCTTGCTCCCTAGATAAGTGAAACTGTTGACTTTTTCAAGGCTGTTGTTGTTCAGCGTGATATCAACTGAACTGTTGGTAAGGTCTAGAATTTTTTTTTTTAAATGTAAAGGTGCCTAGTGAAAAAATAATTCTTCACAATACCAGACTAAACTGGCGCTTGCATTCAGTGATGTTTGTGACTTTGTTTCAGGTACATCTGTTTATTTATGACCTTGGTGGCCGGGACACATTCAAACATTTGACCCGGATGAACTATCCTCGCTCTGATGCTGCCTTGATTTGTTTTGGGTAATTTTCTTGTCAAAATTGTTTATAAAAGCCAGATAAACAAGGCATTTAGCACTTACCACACATTTTGTGTGTGTGTTAAATCAACAACAGTTACCAGTTTTTAATTGACTAACTCATCATCATCATCATGTAGCAAATAATTTGCAGAATATTGCTCTAATGACTGCCCACTGGAGATAGGTCGAGACCTCTCACCAGTTTTACTTACATTTCTTTATTGAGGGTTTTCCCTAATCTCCTTGTTTAACATCATGATGATGATCAGCCTCTTCCTTCTCTGTGAGGAACTGTACCTTCTATTTGTGTTGTTTTTTAACCATGAGGACATTTTATGTGACTCAGATATTTCAGACTTTAAGCTGTTTATAAAACGTCTTTCAGCGGAAAATACAAGGAATTGTGGAAAGAACAAACTAACTGTAAACATCCACAAGACTCCATCAGCAAACTCAACATAAAGCAACATACAACAATTTTCTATCTACGAACAGGACACTGCAGGCTCAACTACCACATGCATAAAATAAAGATCGTACAGTCCCCACAGTTTGCCTGTCAAACAGGACCACAAACGCCCAAGCACATTCTGCAGACCTGCCCACTCTGCTACATACAACTTCGAAAAGACACTTGGCCTCAAGAGCAAAGTTTGCAGAGCAAGCTTTGGGGAACCATGAAGGACCTGCAGCTGACATGCAAGTTCATAGAGGCTACCCACCTGATAGTCTGATCTGAGCACTCAAACCAAATGCAAAGAAGAAGAAGTAGTAGTTTATAAAACAAGTTTTTCTTTTAATTTTTTTTCTTGTTTTACCCACTGTGTTTCTCTGTCCTGCTTGGTTTTCAAGGACAGCACATCTGACCTTTTTGTGCATCTTTCTGAACTCAAGAGATGTCAGTGTCTACTGCAATGGGCAAGCCTTTGTATGAGGTTTACTTTATCTAGAAAGATTCCATTCAAAGGAGTATACTAGAATACTTTACATATACTGCGACAACTATGTATTCACTATTAGAAATCTACATTAACGATCAGAATTTTGCATTTACTATCACAGCTCTACATTCACTATCAGAACTCTACATTTACTATCAGAACTCTACATTCACTATCAGAACTCTACATTCACTATCAGAACTCTACAGTCACTACCAGGACTCTACAGTCACTACCAGAACTCTACAGTCAGTACCAGAACTCTAGTCACTACCAGAACTCTATAGTCACTATCAGAACTCTACATTTACTATCAGAACTCTACATTTACTATCAGAACTCTACATTCACTATCAGAACTCTACATTCACTATAACAACTTTACATTTACTATCAGAACTCTACATTTACTATCAGAACTCTCATTCACTATCAGAACTCTACATTGACTACCAGAACTCTACATTGACTACCAGGACTCTACAGTCACTACCAGGACTCTACAGTCAGTACCAGAACTCTAGTCACTACCAGAACTCTATAGTCACTATCAGAACTCTACATTTACTATCAGAACTCTACATTCACTATCAGAACTCTACATTCACTATAACAACTTTACATTTACTATCAGAACTCTACATTTACTATCAGAACTCTCATTCACTATCAGAACTCTACATTGACTACCAGAACTTTACATTCACTATCAGAACTCTACATTACTATGAGAAGTCTACATTTACTAGATGTAAAATGTAAGACCTCTACACATGAGATTGAGTACTTAATAGTTGTGGAAAGGTCAGGGGTTGACTGTGGAGAATGTCTGTTGGTCGCATTGTTTGTATGTTATTGTGGTTATGTACAAATACATACAAGGGTTACATAATTGGTGGGAAGCTGTGCTCATCTGTTCAAATCCTTACTGAGGTTGGCATTTTTAGGTCCCATGTCATCGTAACCTAAAATGGGTAGCAGGAAATACTTTGGGAAGGCAGGGCAGCAGTTAAAAGTGCCAATAGAAACAGTCCAGCACAAGAGATGAGAAGGAAAGGCAGCTCGGGGTGAGACAGACCATGTCCCTGCTAAATGTCAGTCAAGCCTTAAAAACATTAGCCTATCACCGTAGATCCAGTTTACCTGTACATTTTCTGTTTATATTTTCAGTATTGATGACAAGGAAAGCCTGAAGGCAGTGAAAGAGTACTGGATCCCAGAAATGATCAGAATCTGCCCTGGTATACCCATTCTCCTGGTCGGTCTAAAAAAGGACAAGCGTGACGAAACAAGAACAATTGAGAACTTTGTCAGGGAGAGTGATGGCCACAGCCTGGCCAAAAGCAACAATCTGGTCGGATATGTCGAGTGTTCATCTCTGAAAGGTGATGGAGTCAAGACTGTGTTTGCAACCATAGCACGGGAAGCTGCCAAAAGACAGAACACCCAGAAAGCAGCTGAGTCTGTCTAGAAATTATCTGCATGCCTTTATGTGTTTTCTAAAAGCTTTAACTCACAGAATATGTGATTATAAACCATGTATTTGTGGCATGTCTGGGGAAGTAACTCTAGAAATTGTTTACAAACTTGTCAGAGTTACTGCCCCTTGTCCGTTAAGTCACATCCTGCATGCTTCCATAAATACGTGCAGTCATACTTTTTCTTTTATTAGCTCTTTGTGTAGCATCGTTATCATTATTTTCAAAAAGCTTGCCAACTGTGTGTGAGTGTTCATTCTTATGTGAATTTTAATAGACTGTATCACTTTGTGTGCCAGTTTCCATATCATTATAAAAAGTTGTCCGGTTTTTGCTCACATTCTTCCTCTAGTTCTTTTTTCAGTTAATATTTTTTTTTTATTGTTATAGTATGTTGCTGTTTCTATCTTTTCATTAGGTAACCTACAGTTTTGAATGCCTCATTCATGACACATTGTCTTTCTTTGTGTATCTCTTTAAAAACTGTATTTAGATTTGCAAGTTTTGACTGGCCAAGAAATTATCTGCATTATTCTGTAAAACAACATCTCTATAACTAAATTACATTATTATTATATTATTGTACATTAACTCACTTATTCACAACTACAGGCTTATGTTTGTGCTGTGTAACATGCAAATATTCTTGATCTGTCTTCTAGCAAGAGGTTCTTGTTGTATAGTTTGGTTTTACAAAGTGCACTAATTTGGTTGACTATTGTTCTTCATTTGTGTGATACATTTTAAATCAGACTCCATGCATGTAAGAATATTTCCTTTTTTTTTTTTCTTTTGTTAACCAACTTAGGACTTCATAGTTATAACTTTTTTGACCTCCTAGAAGGTTGAATGGGGTATTTGGGTATTACTCTGTTAGATTGGCATCCAAGAAACCGCTTGTTGGCTGACCAGGGTAGGAGATCTTCAGGTGGCAACCAAGGGGAGAGAAGTCTAATAGTTTGTGTACATAAATACTTCACTTCCTCTGCTTGCTCCATTTATTTTAATTGTACCTTTTGTCATGGTCCAATTTTTTAATTGACCGCCACTAATGCTGACAATTGTAACTAATTTGTCTTTTCTAACCGAGAAATCATTTCTCAGTGAGGATGTCATCTCAGATTACATGAATTCTACATGTGTTGAGATGTTCACATATAGCAGTGCTATTCAACTAGGGGTCCGCAGGCCTATCTGGCCCGCGGAGGCCTTGCAAGTGGTCCATGAATCATTGCCAGTTTTTGTATTGTATTAATGATCTTTCTGTACTGGGGCCCGGACCTCCTATGATGTTCCATATTTTCACAATTTTTGCCCCTGAGTAAATTTAATTGCAAAGCCCTGAAAGCCTTCTCTTTAAAGAATCAATGTGGTTGCACAGAAATTGATGAGAAACTTCAGGGCAAGCTCAAGCATCTTGCTCTATGATCAAAGCTATGGAGGCTACTCAGCTAATTTTTAGACTGCAGTATTTTTAGACTGCAGCATTTTTAGACTGCAGCATTTTTAGACTGCAGAACTGTTTGCAGAAGAAGACCAGCTTCTTATAAATGCAAATTATTTTTTGTACTGCATTTATAAGATGCAACCAGTATGTCGGGCTCATAAATGGCTTTGTTTCTCAGAACTGGAGCAGCTGGCCGAACGGTTAGAACGCTGCGCTCTCAAGCAGAAAAGCAGGATACTTGGGTTCGAATTCTCGGTAAGGCTATTTCTGTTGGGTGGGGGCAAAAAAATATCCTCACTTGTACAGTCGTGGCGACAGCACTAGCCATGTGGCCGTAAATCCTCTGGCTAAAAAAAAACCTGCCTACATCCCAAAATTTGAATAATAAGGGCAGTAAAAGAAAAAAAAAATCCCACAACTGACATACGTTGACCACATCGTGGACTCATGCTCGGCAGTGGGCCTACTATGTAACGATGTCAAAGTGATTTAAATTTTTCATAGCCACACTTTGTGCATGTCTGAAGTCAGAATGAGATCCGATTTGTTCTACAGTTGCAGTCATGAGGTGCTAAGGCCTAGAAACAACATGTGGACTCTAAGGTGATTGATTTAAATGTTGATTACAATTACAAGACATGAAAGAATGTTTGAAAGAGAAAATGTATGCATGTGTTTATATGCAACTTAACTTAATAACTACAGGTTTTCTCATTTGTAACATCTGTGATCTCCTTTATGCATTTTTTTGTTTTGCCGCATGTGGCCTTGTGTATGTGATTTTTGTTTGTGAGATGGTAGTAGATTCTTTACTTGTTCAGAAGCATTAACTGAATGCTGTCTGTTTGCTTGTTTACACTGTGTTCAAAATTTGGTTAATGATTTCGCACAGAGAAGAACGGAAGCGGTAACTAATAAACTGTAAACAATCATCAACTGCCGTCTGCTAAGAAAGGGGGCATAAATGGTTAAACAAAATCACTAGTGCGGAAGTTATCAAGAAAATCAATGAATTTCTGCCAAACACACAAGCATTGGATAAAACATGCATGAGAAAACCTGATACAGTGAAAATTCATTAACACGAACTCACATAAGAAGAACACTCGGTTAAGCTAAACAAAATTTTAGTCCCAGCATGGAGGTATTATTCTTTTTTATCCCTGGTTTGCAAATTTTTTTTGTATCTTGGAGTTCATGTAATAATGTAATTGGAAGCTGCTTCTACCGCAACATATTGGGCAACATAAAATAGAGGAAGACCTAAATTTGCTTGGAAAAGGGTTAGAGACAGCAATTAATAATATGGAATAATTTTGAGTGAGCTGCAATGAATGGCAATGGATTCTGGGACAAACTGGCACACATTAAGAAAAGTTGATAATAAATGACTGGAGTGTCCTTGTATTGGAACAAACAGGGTAAAATAAGATGGAGGAGACATAACATACATGCAGAGTGAGTTTTATGAAGAGGGTATGCCCGTCTCTCTAGCGTAGTTGGCTAAACGAATTGCGCGGTGAGCGGGTGACGAACTCCTTGTGGTTCGGTTTCACTCCCGGGGGTGGGCATAAAAGTCACATTTCTCCCAGATTTACGGTATTTAAAATGGAATCAAGGCCGAAAGGTTGCGATATTCATAATACCGAGCCTAAGGGTTAACAAATCACGGCTTCTGGATACTAAAACAAACAAACAAACATGAAGAGGGTATTGGGTGAGCTATATTAGGGTGATGCAGTTGAATACCTGTGTTCCAGTGGAGGATAAAAGATAAATAAAGAAAAAGTACATCACCATTAAGATATTCTTCATTTATTTAAAATATTTACCAAACATATCTCCGATATGCCCAACTGGCATGTGAACAAGTTTACATTACATTCCTTCAATCCAAAAATCATCCGAGTGACTTTTTCTCCAGTGGCCTTAATTCTTTTTTTTTTTTTTTTTTTTAGTTTAAAAAAAAAATCTTTTTTGCCTTTTTACATTTCTGATTGATTTGTCAGTGTGCTGACTTAACACTATGCCATTTACCAGATTGTCTTGCATTATCATTATATATCCTATTACTTTTATAAAAATGTGTAAATTTTTAATTGTATTTTGAGATTTGCAAAATGATACCACTTTGTCCAGTACTTTGCCTTTGTACTATCCTTTGTGTTTTCCCAATATTGAGCGTGCCAGTTGGCACAGTGCATTCCAATGTTTCTCATGTATAGATCAACACCTTGTGTCTCATTGACTTGTTTTAGAATAATAGTCTCATTCACACAGAGTAATGAAAGTCATAAACAAGCAACAAATGTTAATTATAACAGTAAGTGCGAGTTTACATTAGACACCATTTATTATATGACTTGTTTACCCTCCTTTTCATCGCTGTTTCAGTGCTGTCAAACCTGCAGCACAAAAGTCTATATTCTACTGTTTCAGTGCTGTCAAACCTGCAGCACAAAAGTCTATATTCTACTGTTTCAGTGCTGTCAAACCTGCAGCACAAAAGTCTATATTCTACTGTTTCAGTGCTGTCAAACCTGCAGCACAAAAGTCTATATTCTACTGTTTCAGCGCTGTCAAACCTACAGCACAAAAGTCTATATTCTACTGTTTCAGTGCTGTCAAACCTACAGCACAAAAGTCTATATTTGACTGTTTCAGTGCTGTCAAACCTACAGCACAAAAGTGTCAGACTTGCAGCACAAAAGTGCGTTCTCGACTGTTTAGTACAGTGACACCTGCAGCACAAAAGTCTATATTCAACTCTTTGTGACATTTGCCATTTGCAATCAGCCTGGGTATCATCTGAGAAAATGTAACCAGCAAGGTAACCACCTTCAATGAAAATCACTCAGGGCTAGGTGAAAACTGTGGGGAGGATGTTTGGAATTGTGCAACGTTGGTCGTTTGTCCTCACGGTTAGTCGAGCAGTTCTTGCAGTAGAGAATTATAGTGTCTCTCCCTGGTGAAGTGATCAAGATGTTTGCCTTGTGCTGTGAAGATTATGAATTCATCTTTAGACTGGAATGCTACAGTTTATTGGAGATCCTTTTGGATCATCCCCGTAGCTGAGGAGTTCATGCTTTGTGCTACATCAGTGGCAGGCAGCCAGCTATTTTCAGTAGAGAGACAAACCTATATGGGATCAGACTTGATGCAATGAAGTCGATATGATCTTGAAACATTTTTGCCGGACATTACAGAGGATCCACTTATATATATATTCTAAACATCACAAAGACACCTGATTTACTAGAAACTCACCGGCAAATATATTGTCAGAACTACTAAATGTATATTTTATAAAGGTACTGGAGAAAAAAAAATGTTTTTGTTAAAATATTTGTAAGGAGACTGAGAGGAACAGCGAAAGTGGGAGCAGAGTGTGTAAGAGAGAGAGAAAAAGATACAGAGATAGGGGCCAAAGATGCGGAAGTGTAACAGAATGAAAGGGCCAGATAAAGTGGGAGCAGAAATGTGTATGTGAGAGAGTATGAGAGCGGAAGTCTTCTTCTTCTTCGCGTTCGCAGCTGTAAACTCTGG